GGAACTCCCAAACCTCCTTGCAGAGGAGATTTCCCAGGCCGTTCCCCCAAGCAGAACCCCCCGCTATCCTCCCAAAGCTGCGGCCGACCCCGCGCCCGCACCCACCGCGCCGTGCCCTCGCCCGCAGGGGTGATCTTCCCGTACCACCCGCGCCTGGGCCGCTACTCGCTGAACTTCCGCGAGGCGCAGCAGGCGTGCCGGCAGCAGGACGGGATCCTGGCCTCGCACGAGCAGCTGCAGCGCGCCTGGCAGGAGGGGCTGGACTGGTGCAACGCGGGCTGGCTGCGGGACGGCTCCGTGCGCTACCCCATCGCCCGGCCCCGCGAGCGCTGCGGCCGCAAGGACGAGCCCGTGGGGCTCCGCACCTACGGCTTCCGCCACAAGGAGAGCGAGCGCTACGACGCCTTCTGCTTCACCTCCAACCTCAACGGTGCGGGGAAACTGAGGCACGGCCGCCGCGGGGGGCGGCAGGGGGAGGGCGGAGGGGGAACGCAGCGCTGGTGGGGCTGGAACACTGCGATTCACCCAGAAAATGTGGGGGTTTTAGTCCAACTCTCTTTTTTTTTTAGCCAAACCCCTCTCCTTTCTTAACCGTTTTTTAACCCAAACCCTCTTGTTTTTAGCCGAAACCTTATTTTTTTAATCCAAAACCTTTCGTAGCCAAAACCTCATTTTTTAACCCAAACCCTCTTGTTTTTAGCCGAAACCTCTTTGTTATTAATCCAAAACCTTTCTTAGCCAAAACCTCATTTTTTAACCCAAATCCTCTTGTTTTTAGCCGAAACCTATTTTGTTGTAAATCCAACCCCTTTATTTTAACCTTTCTTAGCCAAAACCTCTTTTTTTAACGCAAACCCCCTTCTTTTTAGCTGAAACCCATTTCTTAATCCAAAACCTCTTCTTTTGTAATGCAAAACCTTTCTTGGCCAAAACCTTTTTTTTTAACCCAAAACCTCTTGGCTTTAGCCAAAATCTGTTCTTTTTTCCTCCAAAACTTTTTTTCTCTTTTCAGAAAAACATTTTTAATTTTTTTTTTTTTTTAGCGAAAACCCTCTTTTCTTTACGGAACTGTTTCGGATGCTCCGCAGGGCATCGCTCACCTCCAGCCCCAAAATCACATTGGCTGCTCCACAGCGCTGCCACCCTTCAACTCCTCCCGCCTCCCCAAATCCTTCTGAGGGGCTCCACGGCGCTCCCATCCATCCCCTCCATCCCCCCAAATCCCCCCGGGGTGCTGCAGAGCGCTCCCCTCGCCCCTCCCCGCCGCCGGGCGGGTTCCCCTTCAGCCGCTCCTTTCACCCCGCTGCAGGCAAGGTTTATTTCCTGAAGACTTTCCGCAAGCTCAGCTACCCGGAGGCCGTGCAGGCGTGCAAGAACAACGGCGCGGCCGTGGCCAAGGTGGGGCAGCTGTACGCGGCCTGGAAGATCCAGCTGCTGGACCGCTGCGAGGCGGGCTGGCTGGCGGACGGCAGCATCCGCTACCCCATCGTCAACCCCCGCGCCCGCTGCGGCGGCCGCGAGCCCGGCGTGCGCAACCTCGGCTTCCCCGACAAGAAGTACAAGCTCTTCGGGGTCTACTGCTTCAAGAAGGCCGGAGG